TTTCTTAAAAATCTGTTGTTAACTCCTATATTGAACTTGTTAATAATGTTACACAACTTGTTAATTATGTCACTGAAGTTGTAAAAATGTCACTTTTTGAATTTTCTGAAAAACTTGTTGTTAGCTGTTATACTGAATTTATTAATAGCGTTAAAGAACTTGTTAACTGTATTACTGAAATTGTAAAAATTCTCAAAAAAATAGTTTCTAGCAGTTGAAACTCTGGTGACCGATTGTTGGTTGGCTATCGAAGTGGCAGTCCACTTGAACTCCAACGGCCACCACAGGCACTAAAGCTCCGACGACTAGTCAGCCCATTTGGGTGCTTAATATTTTTTAAAAAAAATAAAAAATAATATAGTCATTTCGGTAAATTTGTAAATCCCAATTTAGTCATTTGTATCTAAACTGAAATTTTGTTTATTTATGTAACCATGTGAAAACTTTGAAAATTTAAGAATTATTTTTCTGTTATTTTTTCTTTTCATTTTGACCCATTAGCTTCGGGGCGAGCATCACCAGTTGACAAGCTACCCATGCTCATGAGAATGATAACGCAACGCAACGCAATGCATAAAGACAGCCCGATTGGTTATTGGTGGTCCATCCTCTAACTGTTCACATGCCTTCCTTTTCTCTCTGTTCATGTGAATATGTAAAAAGAAGGCCAAGCTTCTCCTAAAAGCTGGAGACATTACTGCGCGATCATATCTTTTTAAATCTTCTTTCCCTTGTGGTTTCTCTTGTGGTGCTTCCGTGGGATCGATCTGTATTTTTCTTTAAACAAAAATCCTTCCTTTTCATAAGGGAAGCATAACATTTGGATGGTAGGCAAAAAAACTAACTTTTAAATGTGAAAAAAATTTGTTTAGCTATTTATTTGTAATATGAAAAATTAGGAATAAATCTTTCATTGAAAAATAAATTGATAAATAGTTCCTAAAATGATGGATTGCATAATGAAATATAAGTTGCACACAATGAAAATTAAAATGCACATAGAAAAGATGACTTACACAAAATATTAGGACTAATTTGCACATAGGAAAGATAAATTGCACACACAAAAAATAAATTACATAAGGGAAGTTCAATTGCAAAAAGGAAAGATGTTGCATATATGAGAAAATAATTGCACACAAAAAAAATTAAGTTGCACAAAATTCTTAAAAACCATTTACCAATTCATTTCTTAATAAGAGATTTATCCTCAATTTTATCTTTATAAAAGATGCATGTTGGTTTTCCCAAAGTACATTATCAAAACATTTGCGTTGGAATTAAGCTTGACAGAAACTCTCTTCACATACGCAATTAGTAGGAATAGTTTGCAGGCAAAAATTATAAACTTGTAAAACAATTTGATTTTTTTTTTTGGTGGCATGAGTAAAACAAAGTAAATTGATATGTTAAATTTAAGATCAAAATAAACACCCTAAATAAATTTTGAACTGAAAGAGAATTAATTATCAAGAAGTTTTAATAGCAAATGAGTACATAAATTTGTTATTATTTTCTACGGTTGGACTTGTCAATGCATACTGCTTAGTTGTTATTAGATTTTTGAGTGATTAAATTCTTTTTGTTGAGACCTTACAGTAACTGTTCCAAGAAAAAAATAAAAATATTTGAAGTTAAGATGATACAAATATTCCACAGTATGCAATTTTAAGAAATAAACTCCCATGTACAGCTTAAATTAAATGAGAATTTAAGACGTAACCACAAGTTAAACTCTATAAAACTAATGAATAAAAATTAAGACTCTGAGTTAACAAATATTAAATGAAGGAAATACAACTTATAAAAAGTGGATTAAAGGTATTGGAGCCCAAAATCTTATGTCCAAACTTAGAATAGAAGAAACATTGGAGAGGACCACTTAATCAAATAGAAAGCTCTACTTGAGTATCGAACGAGCAGAGCACTAACCATTCTTTCTAGAATCGTTTCTGCTCATGTAGGGAATATGAGAGTTCTCAAATAAAGAAAAATGGTCAATGTTCTATCTAGAAAATTTCCAAATTCAAGAGCTTATATCTTGAAGCCTTTTTTTTTTTTGGAAGTACACGTATTCTCTTATTCTCTTACGGAGGTACCTTTGTTCGAATTACTATCAAATATTAAATATGGATATATCATTTAATGAGAATTTAAAATATTAGTTTACCATATTGTGAAAAACTATCATTTTTACTAAAACCAACTTTTATTGATACTTAGATCTTGAATTACAGACTTCTTATTTAAGTGATTCAAGCGTCCATCTGAACCCTAAGATGAGATCTATCTGAGGACACCTATTTGACCATAAGTCAACTACAAATGAATAGAACACATGAAAACCAAAACAAGCAAATTTTTACACTTTTTAACTTATAAAAATGCAACAATTTGTCCTGATGGACAACAACCATTCTAAGACCTTATGAAACCACCTATACATATGTTGAAATTTATCTTAAGCTAAACTTCAACCAAACACAATTTTTGACTACCTAAACCATTTAAGACAAGATTTACTATTTCAACTACTAATGACATTCACCATTTGCCAATCATGCATATACATCACAACAATAGAATCAAATAACAATTACTCTATACATTTGGCACTTCCATGTCACGATGCATTATGCAAACTCTCAATCATTAACATTCAACAAAGGTAGAAATTTGGGTTGAGTAACCAAGAGAATTAATTCTAAATAAAATCAGACTAGTGACAATAATGGCTATAAAAGAGTGTGCAAAAAATAATATTACCTTTGATTCTAAATATGAGAACTAGTCAACTAATTTGTAATGATTAAAGAAATTAGTTAAGTTAATTTTGTTAGTAAAAAATGTGTACTGCTTTTCTTAAAGTACTTTTATAGATATTTGCATTAGAAATTACCTATTGATGAATATCTCTTAATATGTGCAAGAAGAGTTTATAAAAAAAAATTATAAATTTAAGATGGTTGTCCAACCAAATAAAACTCCTCTATTAGGTTTTATATTTAGAATGAAAAATAGTAGTTATGAAAATTCTCATTTCAAATCACAGCAGTTTCAAGCAATCATAAACCGAACATAATATGACAGCCACCACACATAAATGACGTTTGAAAGTGCATATATGATAATAATTGTTTTAAATATTTTTAGATTTAAAATTTTCCAAAAAAGAACTAAAATTACTATATACTCCTCCAATTCTAAATATAAGACTCTTATACTAGCATGTATAAGAGTCTTATATTTAGAACCGGAAGAGTATGTTTTTATTTTTAAATTACAATTTATACATTTGTAATAAAATATATATGTTAACTTTATAAATATTGATTTTCAAGATTCTTATTATCTTTATTATGGCGTATAAATTTGTAAATATATGTTCTTGCAAACATTAATTCATAAATTATGTTGTAGAGGGGCCTTGGCTAGTTAGTGAGTCTCATCACGCCTCAAGGGGTTACTTTTGTACTTTTTTTTTTTTTGGGTCAAATGTTACCTTTGTACTTTACTAGATCCAGCTGGATCAAGTGCTTTACTAATAAATAAAGAAAAAGTTACATATTTTTAATTTTATTTTGATTTTGGCGACATTAAACAATTTTCTTTTAAAATACTACCTCCAATATTATTTATATTTATAAGATCTTATTTGTTATTTACAAATGAGGTCTTATAAATAGAAGGAAAAATTACACTCAGGTCCCACAGAACACAATTAATATCAAAAAGGTCCCACGAAATCGGAAAATGATTCTGAAGTCCCCAGGGACCTGTGTGTAATTAATTCTAATTGTGAAATTACCTACTTACCCCTGTTAATTTTATTGCAGCAATTCGTTTACAATCTCAACAGTGGCTGTTAACAACCCGAGAAGACGTGATTGACAACCTCAGCAGTGCTCATGACAACTCACTCTGTGGAATGCCAGGGGCATTGTTGAGGTTGTTAACCACATCTTCTCGGGTTGTTAACAGCCACTGTTGAGGTTGTAAATAGGTTCTAATTTTATTGCAACAATTCGTTTATAATCTCAACAGTGGCTGTTAACAACCCGAGAAGACGTGATTGACAACCTCGACAGTGCTCATGACAACTCACTCTGTGGAATGCCAGGGACGTTGTTGAGGTTGTTAACCACCTCTTCTCGGGTTGTTAACAGCCACTGTTGAGGTTGTAAATAGGTTCAAATTAACAGGGGTAACTACGTAATTTCACAATTAGAATTAATTACACACAGGTCCCTGGGGACTTCAGAATCATTTCGCGATTTCGAGGGATCTTTTTTATATTAATTGTGCTCTGTGGGACCTGAGTGTAAATTTTCCTAAATAGAATTGAGAGTGGTATATATAACTTTATTTTTTAAAAATTATAACAAACAAGATTGGTAATTACAGCATAACTGTCACCATTTATGCAATAACATGAAGTCGACATGATATTAATGCTAGCAAAATTAATATTTTAATGAAAAATCACATTCTGATGCACATATAATTAAATAATAACATGGTATATATGGAAAGAGACTTGTGGTCAACACTAAAACTCTTTCAAAAAATCTACAATGTGAGGAGATTAATCATTACAATGAGAACATGTTACACTTCATTAAAGTATTAACAACTGGAATAGAATTTCTAAAAATGATTTGGTTACTTATACTTCATTAAAATATTTATTTGGACATTATATTATCAACTTATCTCTTTAATGTGTGTAAATGAAAACAGAAGACGTCATTAATCAATTTATCTCTTTAATGCCGATAAATGAAAACAGAAGACATCCGATTGGAAAAGCTCTAAACCACCAACAAAGAGGGGGGGGGGGGGAAACCCTATCTACGTTTTGATAATAAAAATTATTTTTATTAAAATTTACGATCTACTAAGACGGTAATTTAAAATTATTTATGAGTTTAGACATCCAATGCTAAATAGTCAACACACCAATAATCTCAGGAGTAGTGAATAATACAGCTGTTGCCGCATAAAGATAACGTAACAACCACATGCCTTTAAGATCAAAGAAACTAACATCATCATAGAAAAAGCACATTCACATACATAATATAATTCAATAAAATCGTCGCATATGTTCAACCAAAAAAAAAAAAAATTCAAATCAAAGGCACCCAATTGCAACATGATCATGTAACCCCCAGATGATATACAGACATAATAGAATTGTTTAAATTAATGAGAAAAACAAAAAAGATTCAACGAATCGCCTTCCCCTGCCTCATCATGATCAATGATCATCATCATCACAAGAACACAACGACGATGGCCATGAAAATTGCCATAACAAAGTTGCCCAAGCTGAAGATGGTCCTGTGAGAAGCAGCCTCATCATGTGAAGATGAAGGAGAAGATGATTTAGCAGATTTGGTATCTGCAGATTTTGCATCTGGTGAATCAGCAGCTGGAGCAATCTCAGGAGCTGGTGAAGGAGCTGGAGTTGGAGGAATGTCAGTTCCAAAAATGGCTTCAGGAAGAAGGACCTTGTCAACCTGGTACACAGCGACTGGGTCTGTGGCGTGAACAGCACTGCTCACTTTTGTTTTGGACCATCCAGAGTTAATGTGGACGGTGCCGGAGTTGTCTGTGAAGTTGAGAGAGTAATCGCCGCCGGCAAATGTTGGGGTTGAGCTGGCTTGGCTGAGGTTCGTGAACTCAGCTAGGGCATAGAAATGAGGCAAGGCATGGAAGAGGATGACTTGTTTGAGTTGGTCTGGTGTGAGTTTGGAGAGTGAAGGCTTCTTGAGGGATGAGAAGGCACTATCTTTAGGTACAAAGATGGTGATTCCTTCTTCTGTGTTGTTGGCTTGGTTTTGGAAGGTTTCAAGGACTTTGGTGGATTGTAAGTAGCCAAGGAAGGTGTGGAATGGTCCGGCCACCGTGAGGAGGTCCGTGAGGTTCACATAGTCCGGCGCAGGTGCCGGTGCTGGGGTGGGGCTCAGGGAAGGTGGGCTTGAGGTTTTGCCAAATGCTGGCGACAAGAGAAGCAGCAGAGTAATGGTAAAAGTGAAGATCGTGGAAAACTCCATTTTAACAATATGATTAGCCCCTCCAAATTCCTGTAACAAAAGAGGTCTAGAAGAATGTTAACAGTATGACAAATCAGAAACTGAACTGTCAACTAACTTTGATAAACTGAGTTGGATGTTAAATTTGGATGAAAAATGAAATAGATTGTTTTAAGTTGGAAGAAAATATGATGTATGCAGAACCAATATGATTAGTGTCTCCAAATTCCTGTAACACAAGAAGTCTAGAACGTTACCAGTTTCGCAAATAAAGCATGTAAATTAACTGTTGGGTTGTTAAATTTGATGCTGCAATTGGATGAAAATGAAACAGAATGATTATAAAAAAATGACCATTTTATTAATTTAGCCCAAAAAAATTCAAAGGACTAAATTGAAAGAAAATGATGTATGCAGAACAAAATTGAAAGTTCACTTGACCTTCATGGAAAATATTGAATAGTGCAAAAATTGAGTCAAATCAACATCAATTTGAATCTTACAAACCCTCAATTTTTGTTACTAAAGAGAGTAACAAATTGCCTAAACCAGATCTTAGAAAAGTTGACTGAGGCAAAAAAGAGCGAGAGTGAGGAAGAAAATTAGAGCCGAGCAAGAGAAGATCTGAGAGTATGAGATGAACCTGAGCAGGGAAATCCAAATGCAGTGCAAGGAAAATAGAAAAAGTGAAAAAGAAAGTAATGCAAATGCAGATCCGATGAAAGCAAATAAGATTTAAATCCACTCCATTCTTAGCTATACTAACCCAGACGCAGAGCGCGCGCGAGAGAGAGAGAGAGAGAGAGAGATGACAGATAAGAACGCGAGCTTGTTAAATTCCGAAGAATGGAGAAACACAGATCACAAACACAAAAAAAGGGTTGCTTAATGGTTATTATAATTCCTCATCACGCAAATCGAATCCACCAGGAGCACATTTTCCCAGGAAGTTTCTCGGAAAATCCAAGTCAAATAAAGCAGCAAGTACCAACAGTAAAGTGCAGTCAAGCACACAGCGACACAATGCACATGAACCCACAATAAAAGACACAGATCTAGACAAGCAGAGTCAGAAACTCCATAAAAAAGCACACCAAAAGAGAAAAGCAAATGAACTATGAAGAGAGAGAGAAGCAGAGACTGACCTGAAGTAGAGGAATTCAGAGAGAGAAATGGGGAATGTGGCGGAGGAGGAAGGAGGAAGGAGATATATAAAGATGAAGAGGGGCAAAAGAAAGTAGTGGGGAAGGAAACAGCTGGAGCTTGGGGGGGGGGGGGGGGACACACACACACAAAATGTTGGTGGCGGTGTGGCGTATTGGATGATTCCTTGTGCTTCTGAGTGGCTCCGTGGGTGGTGGCTTGCCCTTTTATCTTGACCGGGGTGACGAGACAAAATATGCTGCAGGAGTAAACGTAAATTAAACAAATTTTCTTTATGTTTTATTAAATTTATAAACTATATATTTCTAAAATTAATATATATGATTTCTCAAAGATTTTGTCACTTTCCTCTTCCATCTTTAAACATAAAAAGTGATAAATTATCTATATCATTAACTATGTATTAAATTTTATTTTTTATTTTTTTATTTTTACCCGTCAGTTAGATAAATAAAAACCTTCATTAATAATAAAGGAGATGCATGTTTAATTTGAAAAGAAATCATAATTTCTTAATTTATTTAAACAATATTGTTATACGAGACTTGTTTCAGTTGCGCCAAAAAAAAGAAGAGAGAACACAGATTTGCGAATGATTATTATATAGCTTTTGAAATTGAAAGATGTGTTTTAATGTAATGAATTTTAAGAGATATTTGTGTAATCTATTTTTATTTTTAGGTAAAAATTGTATTTGTTTTAAATTTAAATATTATATGAGGAGAGAATAGAAATGGCTTTAAAGAGCATCTAGAAAGGACCTAAATCCAAATTTGTATTGTTTACTTAATGCTATATTTCAACAAGACACTCTTTTTCAACCATTTAAAAAATTATGTGTGGTCATGTACAAATAGATATTTCATTGTTTGTTACCTACCACCCCACTATGTTTTTGTATCACTTAGCTAATGATAAAAATATTTAACTTGTAGCCTTTTTCCTAAAATTAGTATATAGCTCTCCATAGCAGGAAGTTTTAGTAATTACGCCATTATTTATTCACAAATAGTGTAGTTTAATTTGTTAAAGTTTTTGTATTGTATATAAATAAATTAAATGATGACAGATTATTATTTAGATACAATATTTGAGAAAGTCATCAACACAATTTTAAGGGCTATTAAAAGATTATTTATGAATGACCCAAATTAGAAGCTATATATTTTAACTAATTTTTTAAAAAAATAATTATTAAATTATGAGTAACTCCAATACTTTACTCAATTTTCCATTAAAAAACTAAGTGTTGTTGTTATGTGTTAGTTATGGAGTTCATTTTCCATGCTGATATAGCATTCAGAATTAATTATTGTAATCATTCATAGCTTATGATGTCATTCAATGTGCTGATAGTTGAGTTAGATACTTAGATATTTAAGTTTTATGTAATAATTATTGGGATAATTAATCTCCAGGTCCTTATAGTTTTATCTGATTTTTAATTAGGTCCTTATAAAATTTTTTCTTTTTATCAGATCCTTTTACTTTCGTGTGTTTTTAATTAGGTCCTTCTATTTTTTTTCTTTTTATCAGGTCCTTATAGTTTCACTTATTTTTTAATTAGGTGCTTTGTAGTTTTTGAAAAATTATTTATTAACTTTATTCTTTAAAATTAATTTCATTTTTAAATTAATAATTATATAATTGGACAAAATAATTAATATAATCATTTAGTAATTAATAAACAATCAGAATAATAATTATAATTAAATATAAATTATTTATAATCATATTTTAATTTTAGATAAATTTATTTTTATAATTTGAATTTTATAATTATAAAAATTTGAATTGAAAATAAATAATATATTTGTTTAACTAAAAATTTAAAAAAATATTAACATACGATTGTTACAATAATTTATTATTTTCAAAATGTTATTATTTGTAAAATAAAGAATAAAAACTACAAGGACCTAATTAAAAACAAAGTAAAACAATAAGGACCTGATAAAAAGAAAAAAAATTATAAGGACTTGATTAAAAATATATAAAAGTATAAGGATTTGATAAAAAGAAAAAAAATTATAGGGACCTGATTAAAAATCAATTGAAACTATAAGGACTTATACATTAATTATCCCATAATTATTTATCTATATCTATCTACTTTTTATTATAATATATAGTTGTATGGTATACTGTACAGTAAATACTATATTTGCTAAGTTATCAAGTTTTTACCTGAATCCATTAAATAATTTTACCTGAATTTAATAATTTTTTGCATAATAAAAATCCGATCGAATAAATTATTAGATGTTTCAAAAGTTGAAATTGTGTGTTTTGTTTGACTGTGGGGTGGGCTTTCTATTTCATTTTTTCAACTAATTGCTTATTTAATTCTTTGAACAACATCCTTGCATTTTCCCTCACGTCATAGTCGGTGGTCTTATATCAATCAATTAATATGTGTGAGCGTGTGTTTTAATTATTTTAAACGTTAAGTTTATTAAAAAGAAATTGCCGATAAAATTTTATCTTGGAGAATTGTTAGCCTAAGAACTATTAGAAAATTTTGAATTTCAAACCCTTTTAATATAAATACTTTTTAGCTTAAAAATGACAACAAACAAATTTTACTAACAAGCCGTTAGTTGAGGTGATAAGTAGCATATCTGTAAGGAGGAAAACATAAGTTTTTTTGTTAGATATAAGTATCCTACTATTAAAAATAACATATTTGAGGTATTGTAAGAAACTAAATGTGGACACTTATTTTAATAGGGATTCAATTTCGAGCTCGTTATATTGTGAGAAATTAACTCTTTCTACTATACCGACCCTTTTGTTGATAAGGAGAATATAAATTTAAATCCTAATAAGTACATCAGTTAAAAATGCTTTAATCTTAAACATTATCAGCCCAAAATAAAATAATTCAAGTCCAAGGTGATCAAATGATGATGCTCTTATTCACAAAAAAGAGAAGGTAGAAACAAATTTTATTTTATTTTACCTGGAACTATATGAGGCTCTGTTTGGTTGACATCCATAAAGACATATAAAAGGCAATATAATGGAGTTAAAATGAGAAGAGAGTGATGAAGTGAATGTTTGGCTTGCATGAACGGAACAAGACCCTGCTTGGTGCCAGGAAATTGCCACTTCTGATATGGAAAGGGAAAGCCATCACATGGATACCAGTGGAAGCCGGTTCAATGGTTAAAGGAAGAAAAAACAAGAGATTTTGGAAGAGATTTTGGAAAAAATGCAATTGCACATGGAAGTGAAAATGGAATAGGAATGATAATAGATGTATGATGGAAGTCTTGTATTATCTTAATTGAAATTTATAGTCTATAATAAAAAATAACTAAAATACTCTTTTGTTTTAAAGAAGTTTCCGTTGTGAGTAATCATCATCCTCCATCATAAAACAAGCACATTATATTGGCCAAAAACCATACCTATAAACTAGATTATAAAACAAAAAGTAGAGAAAATCCAAAAAAAATACTTATTGAGTTTTAAAATTTCAAATCAGTCTTGTTTACTATACTTTAATAGTAAATGATTATTACTGAAAAGTAAATGACAATAAATTTTTGCAGTAATTTTTGGTTTAGAATTTTGAAATTCAAAAGGTATTTTTTTGAGATTTTTCAAAAAAATTGTCTTTAATTTTAATTCTATACATATTAAATATTTTTTAAAAAATAATTAATTAAATCTAGATCCTCTAAATAAATTAGATCTGAATAATCTAGATTTTAATATTCATGACTCTTGATAAATACATAAACTATTTCCCACATGACAGAGGTAAAATTTTACTTTCATTCTCAGTTTTTTTTTTCCGATTACATTTCTCAGTTTCTTTTTGAATGTCCCAAACTCCCATAAAAAGGAAAAAAATAAATAAATCTTTTGATTGGTGCTCATGAATTACGGTTCTAAACAGAAAAATGAATGAAATGTAGTTACAATAATATGCCATCAACCTTGTTTAAAAAGATATGATTATAAGAGACCAAATATATTTTTGGACCAAAAAACAAGGGCAGTTTCTCTCTATATACAGATAGTCAGGTGTATAAACATATACTCTGTACTAAATAAGATAAGGGGAAAAAAACAATAAAATACCTTAAAAATTGCTCAAGGACAAATTAGTGTAGGTAAATTTTAAAATTTCAATTCAAATCTTTTGTACTAGTTTAGAATTTTGAAATCTTGTAAAATTACATAAATATCCTTTACTATTTTTTTTCTTTGTTTGTCAAAAATTGCCACCTTAACACCCTTAGCAAGTTTCTGGTCGTCGGAGCTGATGTTGGCGACCCTGCGGTGGCCAGTCGCGAAGCTCCAACGACATGTCACTGGCATTGGAACTCTGATAACTACTATTTCTTATGTATTAACTACTCTTTTTTAGCTAGTGACTACATTTATTTTTAGAATTCCGGTAACTACTCTTGTTTAGCTACTAACTACTCTAGTATTGTGATTGACTACTTTCATTTTTAAAATTTTGGTTACTATTCTTATTTCGCTATTGACTACTTTTGTTTCAAAAATTCAAAAAATGCATTAAGTGTTGTTGAAGATTTAGTGACTCCTTTTTGTTTAGTTATTTACTACTCTTGTATAATCAATAGTTATATAAAAGTAGTCATCGGAATTTTGAAAGCTAAAGTAGTCAATAGTTATATGAAAGTGGTTACCGAAAATAAGAACAGTATTGTCATTTACAATATTTTAAAATTTCAAAATAATACAAGGGGACTGATTTGAAATTTTGAAATTCACCCACATTAATTTGTCCTTTAGCATTTTAAGGATATTTTATTGTCTTTTTCCCTTAAATAAGTTATTGGTCATTAAATCAATTGAGATAATAGTTCAAAGGTTAATAGTTTAATTTGTAGTTGAACTTGGGTCAACCCATCATTATTAAAATAATGTAATTTAATTAAAATAATCTTATACAGTCATGAAAAGAGTAATAATAACCAAATAAAATGGAATCAATTCAAAAGTAAATAGGACATTTATATATAAGTCGCACATAATTGAATAAAATAGAGTTAATAAGTAAAGCATAAAACAAATTAATTACTCCTACCCCGGTTTTAAATATAAGTGCTAGTTGACTAATTTGAGTAGATTAAGA